GAAAACCTGAGTTTGATCTCTGGAATGCATATGGCTGACTTCTGACCTCCACACATGTGTCATTTCCCCCTACATCTACACACACACGCACACACACACACCTACTCATTATATCACCCTGGCTGACCCTGAACGCACTACGTAGATCAGGCTAGAATTTAACTTTCCCTCCTGAGTGCTGAGATTAAAGGTGTGTACCACTGTACCCAGCACAATAAACAAATTTTTATTTTGTTTTGTTTTCAAGACAGGGTCTCACTATGTAGCTCTGTCCTGGAACTCACTATGTAGGCCAGGCTAACAAACTCACAGAGATCTGCTTGTCTCTGCCTCCTAAGTGCTGGGATTAAAGACATGCACCACTACACCCAGCCAAAATACTTGTTTTTAATGTTCATTTTCTTTTTCTTCTTATTTTATGTGTATAGTGTTTTTCCTGCATACAAGTCTGACACATTGCCTGTGGAGTCCAGAACAGGGCACGGAATCCCCTGGAACTGGAGTTACAGATGGTTGTGAGCCATCATGTGGGTGTTGGGAATTAAACCCAGGTTCTCTGTATGAGCAGCCAGTGCTCTTACTTACTGAACCATCTCTCCTTTGAAAAGGATGGAGAGAGAGAGAGAGAGAGAGAGAGAGAGAGAGAGAGAGAGAGAGAGATTTCCTGAGGGCATCGAAGGAAGGGTATCCTGAAGTCCTCCAAGGTTCATAGCAGGAACTATACAGAAGTTCAGGCTTTGAGACTGTAGCAGAGTCAGAGAAGTGACCATGGAGTTTTTCCTGCTTTTTAGTTCCAGAGGACTCATAGGTCGGGAGCAGGGTTTGGGGAGGGGTGTCCCAGTGATGGACAATGACTAAGACACACCCTTTGGCTTGATGGATGCTCACCCTCCCTCACCCTCCCTCATCTCAGTCTCTGCCATCTGTTCTAGATACAATTCTGTTTGCTCCTAGCCTCTGGTAACATTCCTGTCTGTCGCTGTGCGCCTCTGACCTCTCACGTGTTCAGTGATCAACTTCCCACCTCCTCCCCTGCTGAAAGATTCTTCAAGGGTTTACATTTGAGAAACCCTTCTTAGAGCTCGCCCAGAGCTAGTGGGACTAACACAGCTCTGGGCTTCTTGATTCTGGCATTGCAATTAGCTTCTCCCCACCCCCCTTCCCTCCCTCCACGCTCCTTCATTGTTGGGGATAGAGCTAGCTCTCTGCCATCAAGCGAAATTTCCAACCTCTTCCATTTGTAGTTGTTGAAACATCTCTTTTATACAGGCCTTAGACAATTTCTTTAATTATGATTTAGGACCTCACAAATACTAAAGCAGGTCGAGTCAGCAGTGATTAGCTGGGACCCTGAAGCAAGTCTCTCAGTGTTTGAGCTCAGTCCCTTCATTTGCACAAAAGAGGCAATCCCTGCCTCACAGAGTAATTAGAGAACCAAAGGAGAAACTGAGAAACTATCCACCCAGGCTGCTAACTAAACTGAGTTTTGCCCGCAGTTGTCCGGTGTCTTTGTGACTCCTAAATGGAAAGAGGTGTGTGAAGACACTGCTTTTTAAATTAACACAATGCAGAATTCCTGGATCTGTGGACCTCCATGTGTGGAGGTCAGAACCATCCACATCACCTAGGAAACTGATGGATGTAAACATGTGGGCACCAGGCCAGGAACTTCAATCAGGCTACAGAGCATTGAGCTCACAGCAATTGGTGCTCAGTAAGCCTTCTAGGTAACCACTGCTTACATTCTGAAACATACACACACAGAGAGAGTGTTGTACACATATGAGAGGGATGTGTGTTTGCACACATACACACATCATGGAGGCTAGATGTATTGTCTTCTTCTATTGCTTCTCTCTCTCTCTCTCTCTCTCTCTCTCTCTCTCTCTCTCTCTCTCTTTAAGGTAAAGTCTCGCTATATGGCCCTGGCTGACCGGGAACTTGATATGTAAACCAGCTTAGCCTCAAGCTCAGAGATCTGCTATCTCTGCCCCTCCCCACCCTAAGAGCTGGGAACAAAGGTATGTGACTCCATATCTAGATCATCATCTTATCTCTTCTCTTCTCTTCCCTTCCCTTCCCTTTCCTTCCCTTCCCTTCCCTTCCCTTCCCTTCCCTTCCCTTCCCTTCCCTTCCCTTCCCTTCTCTTCTCTTCTCTCCTCTCCTCTCCTCTCCTCTCCTTTCCCCTTCCTTCCTTCCTTCCTTCCTTCCTTCCTTCCTTCCTTCCTTCCTTTCTTCCATCCTTCCTTTAATAAGGAGGAGCCAGACATGGGAGCTTAGGCAGAGACAGGCAGATCTCTGAGGGTTCAAGGCCAATCTGGTCTACACAGTGGGTTTCAGGCCAGCCAGGGCTACAAAGTGAGACTCCAACTCAATAAAATAAAATAAAATAAGGTAGGGAGCAATTGAGGACGACATCTGCTATTTTTCTCTGACCTCCAAACACACATGAATGCACACCGATGCATACATATACAAAAATATCCTTGCAGTCACATATACATGGAAAACAGCACACACACACACACACACACACACACACACACACACCAAAAAAGCCCTTACAATGTTTTCAGTAGATTTACCGTTTTGTGTTGGGCCACATTCATAACTATTCTCGCACTGACTCTTAGACACACCTTTAAATAATGTTCCCTCTTCAGGACTTCTTAGCCTCATCTGAGTCTGAGTCACTCCGACACCCTGCTCCCTGCTTGCTGTACACCAGCTACTCCTAGTGGACAGGGCTCTGCTTCGGAAGCTCAAGTGCAGAGTCATCACTAAAGGAGGTGTCCAGCCATCCTGAGTCTCCTGGAGGTGCTGGTGTATCAGTGCTAAAGCCTGGCAGTGCTGGGCAGCCCAACAGAGCAGACTGCCTGCTGGAGGAGTCTAGAAGGTAGAACATGGCGTGGCCAGAGCCAGGTTGCTGTGCTGCCTCTGTGTATGGAAGGGTGGTGCAGTTGCAAAGAATATGTTTTGAGCATGACTGGCGGATTCTTAGCTGTTTCTCAGTAGCCACAGTTTCTGGCCCATGCCATTTTCCTTCCAGTGCTAAGTTTATAAGGTTGTCAATCATATAGTCCCAGTCACTAGGAGACTCGCACGGATTCCCTTCTGTGATTGCCCCACGCTTCTCCTAGTCCAGCTGCTGCCCTCTGCAGTGGCCAAAGGTCTCTGCCAGTCTCTCTCCTACCCTATCATTCTACTCTAAGCAGCTAAGCAGCATTCTTCTGCTTGGCCTCCCTAAAGCCTTGAAGACATGTTTGTTTACAGTACAGAGCCTATTATTAATCACCTCTATAGGACTGGTACCTGGAGGAGTTGAAAGCATGTGCTTTTGCTTCATCCAGGGGACAGGGACAGGGGTGGGGGGCACAAACAGCATGTCAGAAGCGGTACTTTCTGTTCTTGCAAAGGAGGAGAGGTGCAGAGCATCAGCTCCCAGCTGATGTGGGTTCACAACTGATTATAACTCCAGTTTTAGGGGCTCCAACACCCTCTTCTGGCAGTGTGGGCACCAGGCACACACACAGAATACATACATATGTGCAATCAAAACACTTACATGCATACGATGAAAATAAATTAATCTTTTTTTCATTTTTCATTTATTTATTTTTTAGTGTTTACTTTTTTGTTGAGCTCTACATTTTTCTCTGCTCCCCTCCCTGCCCCTTCCCTCCCCTTCAACCCTCTCCCAAGGTTCCCATGCTCCTAATTTACTCAGGAGATCTTGTCTTTTTCTACTTCCCATGTAGATTAGATCTATGTAAGTCTCTCTTAGTGTCTGCATTGTTGTCTAAGTTCTCTGGGATTGTGGATTGTAGGCTGGCTTTCTTTGCTTTATGTTTAAAAACCACTTATGAGTGAGTCCATATGATAATTGTCTTTCTGGGTCTGGGTTACCTCACTCAATATGATGTTTTCTAGATTCATCCATTTGCCTGCAAATTTCAAGGTGTTGTTATTTTTTTCTGTTGTGTAGTACTCCATTGTGTAAATGTACCACATTTTCCTTATCCTGGGTGTGGTGGCATATACTCTTAATCTCAGCACTTGGGAGGCAGAAGCAGTCAGATTTCTGTGCTGAAGTCCAGCCTGGTCTACAAAGTGAGTTTCAGGACAGTCAGGGCTACACAGAGAGAAACCCTGTCTTGAAAAACAAAAACAACACAAAACAAAGGCTTGTGTCAGAAAAGCATAAAGATGAACCTCGTCTTACCACCTATGGGGTGGTGTCCTTGGTCCTTCTCAGCACCCGACCAAACGTCCACGGTCGGCTGTTCCGCTGGTTGATTCACACAAAGCACTCAGTTATCGCACGGCATCACTCCTGTGCTCCAGCCTTATTCAGCCTCCCTGGAATTTCCCATCATTGACCCTCCACCTGCAGCGGAGGCCCTAGCTGGGTGGTGGTCTCCTAAAGACTGGCAGGGTGGGCCTGTAACTCCTAGGTGCTCCCAGTCCCTCCCCAGTGCCTCTGCAGGAGGGAGATTAATAATGACCAGCAGAAGTGAATGTCAGAGATATCAGCAGTGGGGCCAGGCTGAGATGTCCTTGTGGCTGTCACAGCTACTCTGAGCGCCTCTCACCAGTCAGGTGTGCCCTGCTCCCACACCAGGACAGAGGTCCCAGAGGTAGAAGTGGGTGTGCCCTCTTTCCAGACACTGGTGTGTCACTGTGTCCCATCATAGAATTATTTCTTTATTGGGGTGTGTGTGTGTGTGTGTGTGTGTGTGTGTGTGTGTGTGTATGTTTTCCCGTGCACGCGCGCCTGCGCGCACCTGCGAGCGTGTTGAAGCTTAGGCTGACCTAGAACTCTTGATCCTCCTGCTTCCTCCTCCCAAGTGCTGGGATCACAGGTGTTCTAGGCTTGCTGTGGAGGGCTTAATGCAGGAAACCTAGTAGAACTTGATTAAGAGTAGGGAAAAGAAAGCTGGGCAGTGGTGGGATGCTCCCCGCCTTTAATCCCAGCACTCGGGGGAGGCAGGTGGATCTGAGGTCGAGTGAGCTCCAGGACAGGCTCCAAAACTACACAGAGAAACCCTGTCTCTCAAAAGAAAAAAGAGGGAAAAGAAAGGAAAGAAACCCGTTATCACATAGGGGACAACCTAAAGTTTCCTGTTGAGGTCTCCAAGTCTGCAGTCTTGGGAACAAAGGTGGCCAGAAGGGGGTAGAGGGTGGTGACCGGAAGCCACCGCTAGAGTCCTGCCCACTTCCTCTCCACCCAGTGTCTCCGGAGAGGAGAGACAGTCGGATCTCTGAAGGGTAGCTGATGCCCGAGTCCGAATCCTGACCTCAAGATTCTTTTGGAAGATGAGCAGAGCCAGGCACCTGCCTTTTAGGGTTGTTACCAGAGCTAAAAGAAGCACCACGTTTTAAAACCGCAAGGCAGCAAAACCAATTTCTCAGTGAGTAGGAGACTGCGTTGGTTTGGGCTGCGGACATCCAGGATTGAGGCACCTTGCTGCAGAGCAGCGGTTTTATTCTCAATGAGTAAAAAAAAAAAGTAGGAGTGTGAACTGAAGGACATAACAGGTCTAAGTGGGTCTCTCCCCTCCACCCGGGAACCCAGACAAGGCCCCAGCAGAGGTGAAGAGTCCGGGGTCCTGGAATCCAGGGCTGGCAGGGGCTTTTCTTTCAGTCGTCCACCTGTATCTCTTCATCTGATAAATGGGGCTCAGAATCAGGTCCTGTAGGGTCAGGGTCAGGGCTTGAAGCGCTGTCTGGCAGTGTCAGGTGGTACAGGACTCCCGGGGACAACGCGCATAGAGAGGCCACGTCGGCGCGCATCTCCTCCACATCCCGCCTGAGCTTGGCGCGACGGTTCTGGAACCAAGTGACCACTTGGGCATTGGCCAGGCCCAGTCGCGCAGCCAGTCCGTCGCGCTCTGACGGTGCCAAGTACTTCTGGAAGACGAATCGCCGCTCCAGCTCCAGCACCTGCTGTGCAGTGAACGCTGTACGCGACTTGCGGCGTCTCCGGACACCAGCGCCAGAACCCGGCGGCGCCTCTGGGGTGACTCTGCCTGCCGAGATGGGACGGAAATGTCAGTCTCCAGCTTTGGAGGAGCTGTGGTCTGGGTGAAAAAGCTAGGGTCGCAAGGCTCAAGCAGGTGTGGGGGAGGCCCAACACCATGTTCCCTTCATACCGGGTCAGGCCAGGGATTCGAAGAGCAACAGGCCTCTGGAAATGCTGGCGACAGAGAAATGAGGGTGCTCACGCAGGGGAGTGGGTGGGACTGACCAGAGGAGATCTGGTGCAGGGATCAAGGCCGTTTGGAGAAGATCCTCTGACGCCTTTTGGAGTTCCAGGTAAGGTGAGGTAGTAGGTTAGAGGCTAGATTGAGGTAGGGTGACCCACCCGGCCTGGTGGCCATATAAAGCTGTCTGTTTATACATCCTTAAAAACATCAACTCCCTTTCCAGGAGCCAAAAAGGGACACAGTGGGAGCATGGGGAGGGAAGCGGGGGCAGAGAGGTGGTTACTATGCCCAAAGCAACTGCAAGGACCTTCTTGCACAGAGCTCTCTAGAAGGTCTCCGAAGCTTTCTGCCTAGTCCTAGCCCTGCCTTGCCTTACTCATTTCTTGCCTAGAGCTCAAGCCTTTGTCTCTTCCGCGGTCTTTCTCGGTCGCAATTGTCCCGCGTACAGCGAATGCACCAGCCCAAGCGGTCCCTAGATTCTTCCCAGCCTGGAGGTACCCCGCGGCGCTGGTGGCCCCCTGGAGCAACAGCAAGGTCTAGGAATAAACTCTAGAGACTTGCGGGCCCGAGACGCAACTCCTGACACCTGGACAGAGTTGCAGGGCTGGGTAAAAATGACAGCCCAGGGTTGAACAAAACTTGTGACTAGGGACAAGAGAGAGCGAGACGGAGAGACAGATAGGGACCGAAGAGACACAGAGAGAGACAGAGGACGGAGAGAAAACTGAGTTCAAGCCCACGACCTTGTAGGCGTTGTACCTTCAGAAGGCTGCAGAGCCCGCGGGTCACGGCCCAGGAATGTTTTACTTGTCAGCTCCTCCAGCGCACATAGTGGCGACGCGGGATCAGGGCTGGCTTCGGGAAGCTGTGGCGCAGAAGGTGCTCGGGGAATCATGCTCGGGCCTAGGATGTCTGCGATGCTGAAGGGTGTCCGGCGCTGGCGTCCAGAATTCATGGCAAGCCAGGTTGTAACGATCCTGCCTCCCGCTGCTCTTGGCTCTACAACCTCCTGGGCCCCCAGTGCTCAGCTTCCGATCTGGGCCCCCTGTCTCGGACCCGCCCCCTAGAGCTGGGTGGGAGCCCCATGTCCCCTCCTTCTGTACCCGCACCTCCCTCCAAAGCCCACAGCGAGTCTGGAGTCCGTAGGTGTCCTGACAGCCTTATTTCTTCTATAGCGTGGAGAGAAGCCGGTGATTTCTCTGTGCACGTTCAAACTGGGCTTACTTTACTGGATTTTGCTTGCTGCTTGGCTCCCCACCCACGGCTCTGGCTCATAAACTCCTGGGCAATAAAATTGCTTTCCCTGGCCCTGAGGGCTGGGAATTTGCAGAGTTCTTAGAAACAGGATCAGGGCTGATTGTGTTAGGCTCCTGGACCTTAGCTGGGAACTCAGTATCCTAACTTGGCCTAATCTAACCCACCCAACCCTGGGAAAGGTCTTAAAGAGAATGCGGTGGCTGGAAATGGTTTGGCACAGTGTGGGGGTCCAGGAAAGACTTGGGAGAGCCTGGCCTAGTGGAATGACTGTCATAAAAAGATACCACAAGGAATGGGGAAGGTGAGTCTGCCTTGCTGTAGCCTAGAGGTCCCAGTAAATCAAAACACACCCAAAAAGCTTCCAGAGACCTGGACTGGCACTAAGGTTCCGGAGGTCTCCACAGAAAACCTGCTCTTCTTCCTGACTTACCAGTGGGTCTGCCTTTGTCATTTTTCTAAGCGCTCATAGTCTAGGTGTGGTGTCCCTGTGGGGTCATTCTCCAGGGAAGACTATTGAAGAGCAGACTTCACAGACCCAGCCAGACCACGAAGCAGGCCAGCAGGCCGCACTGGTAACTTAGGCACAAACTCTGAGATGTAGTCTGTTCGCTGTTGTTTGTATTCTCTGTCCTCTTCTCCCCCACGGGTATTCTCACCTGAATTAGCCCTCCATGATCAACTTGAATTGCAATAAGACAGCTCTGAAACAATGAAGCTGAGTTAGTGAGGCTGGACCGACCTGGACTCTCTTTCTACTATACCCGCCTCGAATAGCTGAAGGTGAAACCTTATAAGCATGGAGACTCAGCTACGACCAACGGGCATGCCAATGTTCTTTTTAAATTGTTGTTGTTGTTGTTACTATTATTATTATTATTTTGAGTCAGGATCTCACTATGTAGCCCTGGCTATACTGGAGCTTACTATGTAGACTAGGCTGGTCTCAAACTTATCTGGGACTAAAGGTGTGTGCCATCACATGTTACTATAAATTTTAATTAACATATTTATGATTGAGCTAAGGTCTCATTATGTAGCCCACGCTCTCTCAAACTCAAAGCAGTCCTCCTGGTTTGATATTCTGTGGAGTGAGCCACTGTGCCAAAGCAAAACTAGTATTCTGTTTGTGTTTGTTTTGTTGAAAGATAAATAAAAAACCAGAACAGCTCCCCCCAGCGCAGGACTATTCCCCATGTCCCCCTTCCTGTAGGCCTCTCTGCATCTCCCATACTATTCAGTGCCACTGGTCTGTCCCCTAGAACAAATGTAACTTAGAGTTGTGGTGCCCCAAATAGGACTTGGGAGATCCTGGGGACCTGGGCCAAAGGCTCCTTGACAATAGGACATTCCCCTTGAAAGTGGGAGGGGTGTCTTCCCAATAAAGGGTTCCCTTTCCTCTGATGACACCCCAGCCTTCAGGCATTCAGCTCCTCCTGGAAGCCTGGGGGATGTTCTTGAAGCTCAATGAAGGGTCAGAGAGCAGAGCCAGGCCACAGGGAAAAGCTGAGCTGCTTCAGAACCTTGTTAATTGGTTATTAATGGGGACGAGTGGGGGAGAGGGCAGTAGAGGGCCTCTGCCACAGGCCTCAGTCCTCAGCACAGGCCCTGTGGTTTCACTTAATCTGCAATTAAAGCCGATCCCAGGAGGCAGCAGGAACTGCCCCACCGCATCCCAGTCCTGTCACCCAAAAGACACTGCAACCTCGCCTCACATATCCATTATGTGGCTTTTATGTCCTTTTTACCTCTGTTCTCAATTACTCCTGTGGTGGGGGTGAGGAGTGTGGGGCTCTCCTGAGGGGCTTTGCCCTCCTCTCCTTCCATCTCTCCTGCCTACTCCTCCCTTCAGCAGATGGGCTCAGGTGATGGACGGGATAGTCCTCAGACACAGGTTTTGGGGGGAGAAAGAGAAGTGGAGAGGTTAAAGGGAAGATGTCCTGACATCAGAGGCTGACTGAGGCCAGCCCAATGCCTAGGGGCTAGTCCAGACTATCCTGGGGCCCTTGAAGGGGGCTTCTCCTGGCTATGCATCTGGAACCTGAGCTGGGGAGAAACCGGATCCACAGAGGGGGGCGGAGGAGGGTGAGTGATTGATGAGGGATAGTAAGAGATTAAACCTGGGTTCTGGGCTTGAGAGGAACACTCAGCTATCTCTTAGACTTTTCCCTACAGGAATTGAGGAGCACAGAAACTTCCTGGTGCCCGGTTGTTTTGCACCCACAGGTCCAGCACTCTGGGGTTCTAAAGGATCCAGGCTGTCTTCCCTGGCATCTCAGGCAATTCTTCTGGTCTCCAGCCTTCTCTGTCTCCCCATTGTCCCCTCAGACACTTCAGGGGCCTTTTAAATCCCTCTCAGAGTAGATGGGATGCTTACACTCAGACCTTCATTTCCTTCAGACACTCACCTGTTACCCAACGGTTCCCTCCACGCAGGTCCCTTTAGCCCTTGGGTCTGTTCAATAAATGACTGGTGCGCTCAGAGTGGCTCACCCCACAAAATCCCTTTGAATGCTGAGTGTAAGAGCAAGCTGTATTGGAGGCTGCTCAGAATTGCCCTGTCGTGGCAGTAGACAAAGAATCTTGTCAGAAGCCAGGTGTGGCGGCACACACCTTTAATCCCAGCAATTGGAAAGCAGAGGCAGGCAGATCTCGGAGTTTGAGGCCAGTCTGATCTACATAGTAAGTTCCAGGACAGCCTTAGCTACACATTGGGACCCTGTCTCAATAACAACAAAAGTATTTTTAGAAACTGGGGATATAGGTCAGTTGGCAGAGGACTTACCTAGCACACACAAAAAGAAAAAGGAAGAAAAGCCAAGCAAGGTGTGTGGGAGAGGTCCCTCTGTCTCTGGGTTGTTTTCTTTTGAGGGCTGGAGTTTAAACAGGGTCTTGTCATATAGCCCAGAGTGGACTAGAACTCACAACAATCCTCTTGCCTCAACCTCAGAACCGCTTGCACTCAGCCTGGGACAGTTTCCTTTTTCAGATTGAGGACCTAAGTGGTAATCAGATCCCTTGGGTTCTGGAGTTGAGTTCTATTGAGTTCTGCACTCCCTCCCCCAGAAGCATTGGCCTGATATCCCTAAATGAGATGCGCGTGACCTCGGGGTCAGGGTGGGAAAAGGAAAGCGAGTCTGCAGCTGCGCAGCATCAGCAACCACAGGAGATGCACTGCAGCTGCAGCAGTCACTGCGCTGACAGGACGAAGATTGCGGCAACCACCGGACCCCATCGTTCCCGCCAGATCCAAACCTTAGCACCTTCAGCTGTTCCAGCCTCAAAGTAACGGCCACATTTCCAGGCGTGGGAGCTCAGGACTCCTGAGCTAGGAACCCCTAGTCTTCCGGCCCGACTTAATTAAAATAAAACAAAAGCATTTATTTAGCGCGCGGGAGTGGTGGTGGTGCACGGGGTTTCATGGATACAAGCTGCTTTCTGACATTTTAAATTTTATTTAAAAAATTTTGCTTTGAAAACTTTATACTTTGTATTTTGGTTATATTCAACCCCAATTCCTCAGATTTCTTTTTGTTGCTGAGCTGCTGCCATATCCAAGAGCAAGCACCTTCGCAGAACGCGGGTGAGGGGGACAACACAGACCACAGTCTAACTCCTCAGCAGTGTTTGCTGCGCTTAGCAGCGCTCCTCCTTGCCCATGCCTCCATAAGAAACCCTCGAGGGTTTATGCGGAGAGGCGCATAAACCCTCGAGGACACCCAGGGTGCCGTGTGCTGTAGACTTTAGATTCCGACGTCCTAGAGGAACACTATTGGAATATTTATCCCAACATGCCCTGCTGTTGAGGTCAGCTTCTGGGAACAGCTGTTTTGAACGGGGGAGGGGATCCCTGGAGGAGGTGAGTCTGTCGTCCACCCCTCCCCACACATACCCAGTTTTATAGAAATGAGATACGGGAACCGGAATCTTTAGGGATGCATCCGCACCCAGATCCATCATCTGCCTCATACACTCGCACTTTTTCTTAGAAACGGCTCACTTCGTACTCCATCCAGGCTAGCCCAGAACTTCTGGTAATAAATACTCCTGCCTCAGTTTCCCCAATGTTGAAATTTATAAGTGAGAGTCGCTTGGCCTGTATTCATTGACAGCCTTCCAAACCGACCTCAGCTGTACACTTTTCATTACCAATCGCCCTGCGGCTTCACCCCTTAAGCTCCAAGAGTAGGCCTTCAGCCAGCAAAATTTAGGCTTTACACTTAGGAACCCCGGACCTTAAATTCTTTGCTCACTGCAGCTCATCCCAGATTGGGCAGCAGCCTGAGGTTTACTTCAGGATGGCCTGGGTGTGTCTTTGGCCTGTTACTGCCTGGTTTTTGTTGTTTCGGTTTTTTTTGTTTGTTTTTGAATACAGAGTTTTAGTAACCTAGCCGTCCCATAGACCAGGGAGGGCTCAAAATCAGAGATTTGCCTGCTTTTGCCTCCTGAGTGCTGCGAGTATGTGTACCCTACCTACGCTTGTTTTTTTGTTTTTTGTTTGTTTTGTTTTTTTGTCTTTTGGGTGCAGAAATACTTTCTGACTCTTCCACACAGCTATCCATAGAACCAGGACACTGGCTGGGATTATTGCCAAAGTTCATCACATACAGTGGGCTTTTAGAGACAAGATAGGCCCTTGCCTGACCACGCCCCTCTTCTGTGGTGCTCCTCTTGGTGTCTTCCCCCCCATCTCAGCTTCACTGACTCCCCTTTCCCAAGGCTAGCTGCCTCTGTAGACAGCTGTCCTAGGCTCACATCTGCACCACTAGATGCCATTTCTGGAGTCTTCTTTCTTGTCTTTAGTTACCAGGCTACACAACCAATGCAATTATTTGGATTTTTTTCCTTAAATATTACTTTTCCTCCTCTTCAGCCCTGTAGGGGCCACACGCCCTCCTCTCTTGACATGTTTGTGACATTTCCGCGGAGGCTGCTATCATATCCTGTAGCACATGAGGGCAGCAAGAGCTGCCAGGTAGACGGCCAGATTTCAGTTCACCGCGGGCCTCTATCCCACTACTCCTGCAAGTCACGAAGGACATCCTGAGGACATCTGGTAGATACCGGGGAGACTGCTGAGCAACCAGGACACAGGCCAAAGCTTGAGTGTGCAGGGAGTAGTCAAGGAAGATGAAAAATGCTTTTTAAAAGCTTTTATTTCAAAAAATAAAGCCACAGTTAATTTCACATAAATATCTGGGGAGGGGTGGGAAGGGGGTGGAAGCAAGTCTGGCCCCTACCTCCTCTTCTCTTTCACACTGTATTGTAAAAGCAAAGGAGATGGCTAAGGAAAGAAGGAAAAGAAAAAAATGAGGGGCTGTTAGCATCTGCAAGGTCCTCAACCCATTGCACCCGGCTTACCTTGCCGAACCAGCGGGACAGCCATAGCTGCTTCATTGTCATGTGATCAGGGAGAACCTCATTGTCAAAAAGGAGCTGTACCTAAGGGGGAGATGGGGCAGGGAAGAGACCTTGGTAGTCCTCGGCAGAGACTGTTCCCTGGACTGTCCCTGAGTGCGTATGTATGCATGTATGTTCCTGTGTACATTGTGTGTTTCTGTCTGTAGAGGCCAGAGAACAGCTCTGGGTGTTGTTCCTCAGGCTCCATCTATCTTGTTTCTTTTCTGAAACAGGTTCTCTCACTGGCCTGGAACTCATCAAGCAGGGTAAGGCTAGTCCCAGCCCCGGTACTGGGATTATAAATTTGCACTGCCTCACTTAGGTTGGTTTTGGTTTAGGTCTGGGAACTGAACTCTGGCTTGCAAGGCAAGCGCTTTAGCGGCTAAGCTGTCTCACCAGAGCCTCCTTCCACTTTTTTTTTTATTTCTGAAGACAAGGCCTTACTCTGGAGCCCAGACTTGCCTGGAATTTAATATATATATAATTATAGCCTAGGCTAACTTTGAACTTGAAGTAATCTCCCTGTCTCAGCTTCCTTCCAGACACAAGCCTCCAAATCAGACATTCCCTCCCCTTTCAGCCTCTTGTTCTTTCATATAACAGGGGTTTACTTACATGTTGTGGATTTAGCATTAGGCGGTGACACAGAACCCTTCGGAGATGGCGAACCTCAGCTCTAACAGAGCATCGGACATATTTGTTCTAGGAGCAGCGAAGGGGGGAAGAGGACAGGTGTGTGAGGAAGGGGCTGCTGGGAGAGGCTCTCCTTCAAAGAGGCCCTCCCTTCAGCCTTTCTCACCTGAAGGACGTTTTTATTCTTGTCTTTGCCAGAACTGGACGGAAACAGAAATAAGTTAGAGGATTGCATTTTTCCTCTCTTCCCACCTAGATCCATAGCACACTCTCTTCAAGGGAACAGCCACTCCCTCACCCCCTGGCCTTTCCGTCCCCCTGGCCTTTCCATAAGTCCCTTAGCCGATTCTGGGGCACCAGTAGTAGTATTCCATGCAACCTCTGACCTGCCCCTCACCTCAGCCGCTCCAGGCACAGGCTCAGCTGTTCATCATAGCGATAATAGTGGGCTTTAGAGTGGTCGAAACTGCTGAAAGGGAGGCCAAGGTTGCTCAGGGCTGGCTCTGAGAAAAAGTAGACATTGAGGAGGCTGGTACAGGTTCCACACCCCCTTTCCCCCAGAGAGCAAACCTGGGCAGAGGAAATGCTCTGAGAGCTTTATTTGTCCCCCTCTTGCCCCAAATAACCACCAAGGACATACCTTCCCCACTGGGCTGGGTGACTCTGTCCAAACCTCGGGACTGATAGAATTCCCGAATCCGCTTCTCTTCACCTAGGAGGGGGTGGAGGGCGGCCATGTTAATTCTCTTTGTCCTGGTTGTTGACCTCTTTATCTAGATGATTCCCAATAAGACTGTTGTTCACGTCAAGCTGCCACCCAGCATGAGAGTCAGGAGGCCCCACGAACACAAGGTGGCCACTCACTGTCTTGCAAGCCTGGTACCAGTTTATAGACTATGTCCTGCATGACCCGATCCAGCTTGAGGTTGAGCAGAGGCTGCGTCTCGTGGATCTTGATGTTGCACATGGGGCAGTACTTGCTGGTCTGCAGGTACTTCACAATACAACTTTTGCAGACTGTAAGGAGAAACGCAGACGCTCAGGCCCTTTGGGACCCCGGCACATAGGGCGAGTGGGACAGACAGCAGAGGCTTGCAGCCAGCCTTGGTGAGGACAGGGCGGGATCCGGGACACTCACAGGTGTGGAGACACTCTGTGATGGTGGTGGCATCCACGAAGTAGCCGGCACACAGGCAGCAGACGATGTGTTCATTCAGGTCTTTGATCTTCACCCGGACCTCCTCCTGCGGACACACCCTCAGTCACTCCTCACTGGTCTCGCAAACCCACCCCACCTCACCTCTGCACTTCCCAGTTCCGGAGCGGTTCCTGTCACTGGACTCAGTTCGTGGAAGGGGGTGGGGGAAATGAGCTCCCCCTCCGCCCAGCAGAGGGCTCCGCGCACAGCGGGTGCTCTGTTCTCCCGGACTCGCCCGACCCTCCTTTCCCTAGGGAGACCAAGCGCCGTCAGTGACACTAAACGCGCAGGCGTCTTAGTCCAGCGTTTGGCAACCCTGCCGGAATCGCGCGTGCGTACCGCGCACCCCACTGCTGCGCAGGCGCAATGGGCGCCTGTCCCGCCACCGCCCGTCCTCTCGCCCGCTTGGGTTCGCACAGCTAACGGACCCCAGCAGTCACCCCGCCGCCCCTGCACCTCGTTCCGTAGCGGGTCCATCTTGTACACTGACTGGAGCTGGTTCCGAAGCCTCATCGCGATCGCAATCTGGCCCCCCTGAGGAGACGCCATCTTAAAGGCTGATCCCAGCCCGCCACTTCCGGTACCGCCTGCGGGGCGGGACTTGTATCATAGCAACGAGGGCCTCAAATTCTCCGGATTGGCTAATCTTCCGGCACACCCCGCCCTCACCCCTTCGCTTTCCCCGTGTGCTCACCTGAGCCCGCTGGCCCCCCCTCCCCTTGGTCATTAGGGAGTGGGGGGGGGGTGGTCGTGAAGCAGGATCCCGGTATTCCTCCCTCCCACGGGCGTCCTTCCGACGGTGCGCACCCGACCTCTGGATCAACTTCAGGAGCTTGTGATAGATAGCCTGTGCCCTCCGACCCCGAGGCCGTGCGATCGCCGCCCGCTGCTGCCCCGAAGAGTGGGAGTCCTGGGACTCGACCTCGCCTGAGAACCCGGGTCCTCACCCTGCAGTGCGACCCTACTCGGCTGCTGCGGCGTCCGCGCTGCGAAACTGCGTCCGGGTGGCGGGCCTTCTCCCCGCTCCACCGCGGGAGTTTCTCCCGGCTTCGCGAAGTCTCGGAGAGGGTGCTTTGGGTGGGGTGGGGAGGGAGAGACCCTCCGGGAACGTGGCGATCTTACCCCCCACTCTCTCGCTGCTGCCGGGGGTGGGGGGAATAGGCCCTGGTTAATGATGATGATTTAATCATCGGCGCCTGCGGAGGCCTGGGATAGACTAATGCAGAGCAGATGCCAAAGGAGGAGGGGAGGACTGACAGCGAAGATACTTGGGCAGCGAGTGCCTGAAGTAGCATAGGTCCAGGCCCGCACTGGGTGAGGACCCAGGGGTCCCCGGGACTGGTACACTGTCATCACTGCGTTCTTACAGCGAAATTAAAAAAATTAAAAATTTACTCTGAAGCGTATTAGCACCGAGTACAGCTAGAGATTGGAGCCAGAGGGGAGATAACCACCGGAACATCGAAATGCTTTCTGAAAAAGATGGAACTCTGTGTAGGCATGATTGACGCATGGATGAGCGGTATAAATATAAGTGTGATGGAAATAGGAAAGAAAGGTAGTATGGAGAGGACCGATCGAGAAAATAGAAGTACCGGGCGGTGGTGGCACACGCCTTTAATCCCAGAGGCAGAGGCAGGCGGGTCTCTGCGTTCGAGGCCAGCCTGGTCTACAAGAGCTAGTTCCAGGACAGGCTTCAAAGCTACAGAGAAACCCTGTCTCAAAAAACAAGAGAGAGAGAGAGAGAGAGAGAGAGAGAGAGAGAGAGAGAGAGAGAGAGAGA